GCTGGCGCGAGGCGATCGAGCCAATGAGCGAAACTGGGCTTCGCGCGCTGGTTGGCTGGGCCGCCTCGCGTCGGCCGTACTCGATTCTTATTGGTCACTGTTTTTCGTTGATAACTCGTTAACGGTGCCTCGGAGAACATTTTTGTAAAGGAAGAAGTTGCTTCAAATGATCCGAGGAACCCGCCATTTCCAGATTGCGAGACATTTTTGGAACACCCTGTAGACTGTTGCAAATCGATGTGAAGACAAAAGAGGTGTGAAACAATGCATATGAAGACGATTATTTGGTTCAAACGAGGAGCGAGTGAGCTACTAGAGCAAGCCACTATAGTGGCGTGTCGTTCTAAAAGATGATATCCGCGGAAGCCACTATAGTGGCGCGTCGTGCCTAAAAGTTTAAGTCCGATCGGAGTACTAAGAATTGCAAAGGAATCATTGGAATTAATGGTTTCAGATACAAGCTTCGCCAGAATACCCACAAGAGTAACGAGGGCTTGCTCACATCAAGGCCTGGACGTACATTCCACAGAAAGGTCAACGATACGACGTACCCGAAGATCGAGTCCGTCGACGTCACCCGACTGACCACATTCTTCGACGTATTCAATTCGACCGTCAGCAACGGTTTACTGATCCAAAGCGACGAAGAGGCCAAAACAAACCTGATCAAGATCACGCAAACCCGTCTGAACCACGAAAGCTTCAAGTACACCATCCAGGTTACTAGCAAGAAACCAACCAAGGCAGTCGTCAAAGTTTTCCTCGGACCGAAAACCGACGCGTACCACAATCTCATCAAGCTTCCACAAGATTTCGATTACTTCTATGAAATCGATGACTGGCTAGTCTCTCGTAAGTTTCGAACAAACCTGTGACGCTCTAAAGTATGTGTTCGAGCTCTTTGAAAGCTGCGTAAAAGAGTACAATAAATTCTCTCCAATTGTCCCTCAGCATCTGAACGAAAAATGGACAATTTGGGAAGACCAGATACGATTATTCGAGCCTCGCGGCTCGTTTTTATAGCTGTTGGTAATCGCCAACTGTAAGATAAAATTATCCATTTGTTGTTTACAAGCCGAGAGACAATTTGAGGGAATTTACAGTAAATACTTTTCGCTGCTTCTTTGCGTCAGCTCTTTGGACAGGGTGTTATTTAGAGTCGCCATGTACAGTGTGTCCCAAAAGTCACTCGGAATCGGTCATTTGAAGTAACTTTTTCTTTAGCAGAATTGCTAAAGTTACTTAAAGAATTGCTGCAGTTACTTCAAACGACCCTAATGTCCTCGCGACCTCTTTCCCGATTGCGAATGACTTTTGGGACACCCTGTATTCTTTCTAGCACGACTATGTTCGACACGCTGGCATATTCGATTGTAACATAATCGAACACATTTTCCACAGTGCAAGAAGGAACCAACACCATCGTGCGCAGCAGCAACGACAGCTTCTTCTACTACCCCGACTTCGAGCCAAGCGAGGTGTACTACGCCAGAGTACAGGAGGCCATTCGCAGAGATACTCCCTTATACCTTGAGAAGAGAATCGCTGGTTTCCCGCAAAGATTGCTGTTGCCGAAGGGTGACGTTGCTGGAAAATTGTACCAATTGTTCGTGTACATCAGCCCAGTCGAGGACGACGCCGAAGTCAACTACCATTCCAGAGTGTTCGGTAACACCCTGTTCGACAAGAACTCGTTAGGTTTCCCTCTGGACAGGCTCGTCACCGAATCGAAATTCAGACAACAGAACTGGATTCTGCAGGACGTGACCATCTATCACCATCCCGAAACCATCAACGAAGTCAATCCTTACTGCACAACTACCCCTCACGTGTTCGGCACCACGAGAGTTGTTTGTTAAATATTTTATATGTTTCTAGGGGGGTCTTCTTAGTTCGACTATTTACGATGCAATTATTTCCTTATATTCTACGAGAGTTGAACGATACTTTTAAATATTATTAGAATAAACGACGTAAATTTACACGATCTGGAGTTCAACAGCTTCATTTTCTTGTTAATAAAACAAAATTTTGATTGACAAGTATACTATGCAGTTGCTTATTGTTGGTCCAGCTTGGTATCTTTCAGCGCATTATACGCGGTACAGGTATCAATACCTTCCTAAAAATGTACTTTTATCAATTTTGTTATATATTCGAAATCCTGAAAATCCTCGTTGGACATTTGTTTTCAAAATCCTATTGTCCTTCCGAAAAATTTACTTCTATCAATTTTGTTATATATTCGAAATCCTGAAAATCCTCGTTGGACATTTGTTTTCAAAATCCTATTGTCCTTCCTAAAAATTTACTTTTATCAATTTTGTTATATATTCGAAATCCTGAAAATCCTCGTTGGACATTTGTTTTCAAAATCCTATTGTCCTTCCTAAAAATTTACTTTTATCAATTTTGTTATATATTCGAAATCCTGAAAATCCTCGTTGGACACTTGTTTTCGTTAACATAACTCGTTCGTTGACAATAACTTATATAATTATAACGTATAAATAACTAATAATATATTAACTATAATTATGATATAAATAATTAATAATATAATAACTATAATTATGATATAAATAACTAATAATATAATAACTGTAACTATAATATAAATAATAATATAATAACTATAACTCGTACAACAATAACTAACAATAATCGGTTAATATAGAACTAACTCTCAGCAACTTTTTGCTTGTGATCTTTCATCAGGTTTTGTTCTAAACGAAACAGTTATTGTCAATTGTTAAAATCTGAAATATCTTGGCGGGTCCTTCCTTGACAATTTATTTCTCGATTTTACACAGACTTCATTCATGCACCGTTGAGACTGAAGATTCTATAATAGTGTCTTGGCTAATTTCATATTGCAGTTTCGCCATTGATTTTATTTCTAATTAATTAGTTGTAACGATTTCCGTCGGGGTCACATGGTATCTTCTCTTCCAAAACTGTCCATTTTTCTTTTTACAAGCTGAAGGAAAATTAGGGAGAATTTACTGTGTACTCCGCAATGGAATCAAAATATGCAATTAATTTCTTATTTAGATTCAGAGTGTACATAATTTATATAATATATATTATTTATATATTATTTATATAATATTATATTTATATAATATATTATTTCGATGTTACTGCAAGCGGTACACGATTCCAACACAATGGAACGAAATTTTGTTTGGTACTTTTTGCTTAACAATTGAGAAAGTCTCGATTATGGTACTCGCCGTAGACAACAGCCTGCGTAGATTACGCAATATAGCGTTTAGATCCTCGAATTCTTCTTTAAACAGTCGTTACGTAACGGAAGAAATGAATGAAGCATGAAATGCTGTTTGTTTGCGTATAATAGGCAGCGTTTCTTCCTAATTTCTCCATGCGCCATTCACGGTTGTACCGTGATAATTATGGGAACCTTTTAACTAAATTATAATCGCAATTTCCAGGTCGTCGGACATAGTAAACATTATTTGAACGATTAAACGAAGCATAGTATAAAATGTTTGAACAATTGCGAAACGAAATAGTATAAATTATTAAAGTAATTAAACGAAATTGAAGGACGTAAAATATAAAGTATAAGATTAGTTAAACTTATGATTAGGAGGAGTACAATTAAAATGCTCGAGCAATTAAAACAGATATAAGTATAAAATATTCGAGCAATTAAAACAAGTAAGTATAAAATATTCGAGCAATTAAAACAAGTAAATATAAAATATTCGAGTGATTAAAAGAAGTATAGGTGCGAAATGTGTGAACAATGAAAAGAGATACAGCGTCAAATATTTAAACAATTAAAAGCAGTACGAACACGAACAAATGTGAATATAAAACGCTCGAGAGTGCAAATTACTTCGCCAGCATTTTTCAGCCAATTAATTCTGTTTCAGTGAATAAAAATTTCGTAATCACTTATTGAAATTTTCTCATTATTATTTTCTGGCTAATTATCAGAACTTTTCAGCAAATCGGTTGCAGCCAACGATGATGTTCCCACGACTGCACATTGCGCATCCCGCGTTGTATATACCCAAGAATGGCCCAAAAAATGCAAGTGAACGTACTACATAACGGGTGATACGACCGCGTGGAGGACTATCGTCGGAGATTAGACTCTGCCACGTACGTATTTACGAATAAACAGGAAAAATTGCTACGAATGTTTGCTCGAATTTGTGGTCGTTTCGATAAAAACATTATCTCTAATGAGAAGTTGATCGAAGCACAGTTAATTCCTTCGCGAAAGTTCCTCGAACAAAGTTTTCAAATCGAGGCAAGATATTTGAGAAATATTGACAGAAACTTGCGAAAGCTAATTTTCGAGATGCTGTAAGTCCATAAGAAAGACATTATTACGTTTAAGAATTTAAACTTATATATATATTTATAAACTTTATATATATTTATATATATTTAGACTTATAGCATCTCGAAAATATCTCTCTCTCTCTATATATATATATATATAGAGCTGTCTCTTATACACATCTAGATGTGTATAAGAGACAGTATATATATTACGTTTACATTATTACGTTTAAGAATTTAAACTTATATATATATTTATAAACTTTATATATATTTATATATATTTAGACTTATAGCATCTCGAAAATATCTCTCTCTCTCTATATATATATATATATAGAGCTGTCTCTTATACACATCTAGATGTGTATAAGAGACAGTATATATATTACGTTTACATTATTACGTTTAAGAATTTAAACTTATATATATATTTATAAACTTTATATATATTTATATATATTTAGACTTATAGCATCTCGAAAATATCTCTCTCTCTCTATATATATATATATATAGAGCTGTCTCTTATACACATCTAGATGTGTATAAGAGACAGTATATATATTACGTTTACATTATTACGTTTAAGAATTTAAACTTATATATATATTTATAAACTTTATATATATTTATATATATTTAGACTTATAGCATCTCGAAAATATCTCTCTCTCTCTATATATATATATATATAGAGCTGTCTCTTATACACATCTAGATGTGTATAAGAGACAGTATATATATTACGTTTACATTATTACGTTTAAGAATTTAAACTTATATATATATTTATAAACTTTATATATATTTATATATATTTAGACTTATAGCATCTCGAAAATATCTCTCTCTCTCTATATATATATATATATAGAGCTGTCTCTTATACACATCTAGATGTGTATAAGAGACAGTATATATATTACGTTTACATTATTACGTTTAAGAATTTAAACTTATATATATATTTATAAACTTTATATATATTTATATATATTTAGACTTATAGCATCTCGAAAATATCTCTCTCTCTCTATATATATATATATATAGAGCTGTCTCTTATACACATCTAGATGTGTATAAGAGACAGCTCTATATATATATATATATAGAGAGAGAGAGATATTTTCGAGATGCTATAAGTCCATAAGAAAGACATTATTATGTTTAAGAATATGAAAAGCAAATACTAGATATTGATATATATATATATATATATATATATATAATAATAGATAATATATATATATATAAGATAATAATTAATATTAATAATTAAATATTTTTAATGT